CCAGTAAAGAGAGACTTTCCTAGAAGGTCCAGGCAGCAGACTGACTCCGTGCAGGAAAAAACCAAAGCTACTTCCAGTGGGCCAGCCCAAGGGCACAGACACAGCTGGCCAGACTCCAGGAACCACAGACCACCATGGAAGAGCCTTTTTTTTTTTTTAAACTGTGCTTTATTTAGGGCTAAGCTGGAGAAAGCGTCATCCAATAGTTACAGAAGGTTACAAGGAGCTTTAGGGAGTTGAGTGTGAAAAGAGCAGTTGTACTGAACTGCAGCTGTTTTTTTTTTTTTTTTTTTACAACATCTGGACATCCTAAAAAGAAGGAGCCAAGAGAAAGAAAAATAAAATTTTACAAAATAATAATTAACCAACAAAATAGAAAGAAAGGAAAGGCAGAAGGCCTGAGAGGAACCAGATAGATGTTCTAAAGCAGGAAATTAAAAAACATGGTAGGTTCAAGGGCCTCCCCACCAGGCCTCCAGATAACTAGAGGTCAGTGAGGAGGATGTCAAGGCAGAAGGTCAAAGCAAGTCTTCCCAACGGTGCAAATAAATTATAATAAATATGTTATACTTTAAAATATATGTGTTCTTAAATAATTCAGTGTTTTTTTCTGATTCTGAGTTTTTTTAAGCAATGTCTTTTTTAACTGCTCTAAAGTCATTTACCAAAGATAAATATCGTGCTTTCATTAAATAGTTTTCCTTGTTTTTTTCTCTATCATTACAATTAAAAGTCCTACAAAATATGCAAATTTATTTACAGAAAAACAGAGCCGGCATCATTTAAACATCCCTGTTTTTCAAAATTCCTTGTAAACAGTTTCAGAAATTCTTCAAAGATTGTTTTTTTTTTTTTTCTCTCTCTTGTTAAGGTTTTTGTGTGTGTGTGTGTTGTTTAGTTGTTTTAAGATGAAAGTTCCCAGGTCTCCCTTGCCCGGAAAGTCTCTGGAGCAAGCATGGAAGGCGAGTGAAGCGGAGGTGTCCAGGGCTTGCGCGGAGCGGGCGAGCACGCGCAGCTCCCGGAGCGAAGCGAGGCGGGGGTGGCGGCGGCGGCGGGCCTTCCTGCCAGCGGCGCGGCCTCCACCGGCGGTGGGCAAGCCCGAAGCCCACGGTTCTGGGCGGGTCCGGCCTGGCCCTCGGGGTCAACGGCGTCCAACAGCACTCGCGGGGAGAAGGGATTGATGCTCAGTCTAAACTCTACAAAAGTACAGTCCTACAACATCTGGGATTTTAGCAATAACGCTAACTTCTATAGGATTTTTTTTTCTTTTTTTTTCTTTTTTGCTTTCCTCTAATTTTTCTTCTATTATATAGGTATTTTAAACTTCTCCTTTTTAAAATTCTGTACAACTATTATGATTTTAAGAGGGGGGGAAGTTAGAAGCATTTACAGACTTTTCACAACAATTATCTTGCCTTGTCAGTCCCCTTTGTTCCCCTCGTTTTCTCACACTTCACAGTTAACGAGTTTTCGTATTTTGTTGCTTTCCCCAAATATCCACCAATTTGTTCATCTTAACAGCTCCATCCTGACATATAATACAGAAAACCGTAGGAAAGTGTCATAGACTTGAATGAGGGTAATCAAAGCGCCTCTCAAAGTATCAAAGAACTATTATCTTGCTGTTTTAAAAGCATTGAAGCATTATTTTTCCTTTTTTAAATTTTTTTGTTTTTTTGTAGTTTTTTTGTTTTTTTTTTTTTGTTTGTTTTTTTTTAATTACATTTTTTCATAGAATCGCTCTAAGCTGTTTCAAGAACAGCCATGAGGCAGGAAGGAGGTTTTCCTCCATCCCCCCTCTATTTGACCTAGAGCTACACATCTGCAATAAAAAGTTTGGTCCTTTGGTCCCTAAATAGCTAAAGGAATGACAGATAGAGATGCTCAGCGGCGACCTCCCAGCCGCCCCCCTGGGGACCAGGCCCCGTCAGCCACACCGCTTGCCCCAGCCTGCCTCAGGCGCCCACGGGCTGGAAAAGCCCCGGGGATCGGGACGCAGCGGCCCTTCCCAGTTCCCAGCCCTGCAGTCTCCCCACCTTGTCTCAAGTTATTTTGTTTTAAAGTTGCCTTTTTTGTTTTGTTTTGTTTTTTCTTCTCATTTTTCTTCATCTTCTTCTTCTCTTTGTCACATATATATATTTTCCCCCAAACACGTGCCCTCTGAACTCCATAGACGCTATACGTTCCTTGAAGAAATGTGACAGTCACAGAGAGTGTCTGGAGTCTTCAGCTTGATTGATATTGGCTGATATGTCAAAGGTGTCATCCAACAGTTCTCATTTATAAATATATATAGAGAGAGGTTTGTTTTTTAATGTAGCCCGTTCAGCATCCTGCCCTAAAATGAAGAAAATCGGGGCTGATTAAGCCAAGAGAGGAAATGCAAAATACATCCAAACACCAAAAGGAACCTGCCTTGGGGGGTTAGGGCGGGAGCTCTGGGTGGGGGATGGTGGGAGGGAGGGAAGAGACCAGTAGGAGAATTAGTCATGATCATGATACGTAAAAAAAGAAATTGACTCTTGTATTCAGAGTAAGAAACCACTGGGAGGGCTATAGGTGATGGCTGTAGCAGAGGAGAGGGTTTTTGATTTGGGTTCCTTTAGAGTTCTGGATTGGGGGATGGCTAGATCTAAGGGAAGAATTTGTGACTGTGGGGTATGAATTCATCATTAAACTGACTTCTGAGGGATCTAGCCCAGATACAATATGTATACAGAAGCCTAGCAAACAAGATGGCAAAAATCTAGCGGCCCAGCCCGCTCCTCCCCACGATCTGTGACGTGAATTTTGTAGAACTCTTGCCCAGTTTCCAAGCGAATCGCCTCTTTTCCAAGGTCAGTAACTATTTGCGAGGCTATGTATATATATGTATATCTGGATATATGTGTAGAATATATTCACCTGCACATATGTGGATATACATGGATATGTGTGTATGTATATGCATAGATACACACATACACACACACGGAATGTTTTTCTCATACATGCCAGGGAATTTAGAGGAAAGTCAGCACTTTGAGGAAGTGGATGGGAGAACCTAAAAGAAGTTAGAACGGATTTAATCATCAAAGTTAAATTAACTCAGACAATTCTCGATTTTGTTTTGAATGGTGGCTTTTTGGTGTTTTGTTTTGCATTTCAAAGAAAAAAAAATCATGATCTGACTAGAATCAGAAGGAGAATGCTTAACCATCGTGAATTAACAAATGAGACTCGTCTCCATTCTAGCAAGCAGCTTCCACTTATACATGGGGGTGACTGGTTACATCAAGAGTTAGAACTGCAAAGCCCCCAGTTGAGGGGACAACGTCATGCGTATATCAATCCATGCTGGCAGGTTTTTCACACTGTTGATTCAACAAACAGCAAACCGTACACAGCAATCTAAACAATTACAACACCAAATAAAATAATAATAAAATTAAAAAACACTTGTCAAGGACCCTTTTTCAGTTGTAAACAAAAAAGTGCATTTTGCTTTTGTCAGTACTGTTTTTTCAAACCAACCAAAAAGCCCTCCCCAAGCCCCAGGTCCCCCACCTCCCCTCCGCACATTTAATTTAGCAGAAGTAGCTACAATACAAACCTTACAATTGTGACCGGGCTCTCTCTCAGAGGCCTCGGGCTTTAAGCTCTAGTTTTTTGGTTTAGAATTTTTTTTTTATCATTCTGTTACTGTAGAGATTTTGTTTTTGTTTTTCCTTTTGAAGTGAGATTTAAAATAGCCTAACTTGAAAAAGACCAGACCTAGAAAGTGTCAATTGAAAAAGGCCCCCAAATTTCTAGAAAAAAATAAAATCACAATATTTTCAAGTGCAAGTAAATCAACCACGCATAGATACTTTTAAGGTGTTTTCCTTATTTTTAAGAAAAAAAAAATTATGGTTTGCACAGTTAAATGATCCCATGTCCGATAATTCGGGAATTCATCTTTATTTTTACTATTTTTTTTGTTCTTTTTTTTTTTTCTCTATGTGACATCTAGAGAAGCATAAAAAACGCTGAACAAGAAAAACCAAACAACAGAAAGTAAAACCACTGCAAGCACCAAGAACGAAACGAAAATGAGCACAGCAAAAAAGATTGTGGCAGCACAAAAGTCAAGAAAATGCACGTGTGATCATGACTGGCCAATCATCAACTGATACAACATCCAAGAAAAACGCTCCAATCACAGCACCTCCACGAAACTTGACGGCAATTGTCATGCAACCGATTCTTAGCCTTGTTACATGACGCCATCATGTCACACTGTGAACTTTGAGTTGATTTGAACTTACGGATGGGGGACTGTTTTCTCCACTCTCATGTGATTACGTGAACTTTATTCCTAGCTCAGCGCGAGACTGTGGTGGATTTGACTGGCCCTGGTTGGGTTGTTGGAATTTGATTGAATGACAAAAGAAGAAAAGATTTATATATATATTTATATATGTAGAGAGAGAGAGAAAGAGAGAGAGGACAAGAGTGTGGGTAAGGGGGGGGAGGAGGAAGGGTGGGTGGGGTCGGGGATTGTGGGGAGCAGGGTGGGGGGACAGGGAGAGTCGGGTTGAGGGTGAAGACGGGCAAGGAAGAAGTTAAAACAAAATTAAAAGGAAAAATATTTATACAGCACCAGACCACAGCATCAATCTAAAAGCTCGGATGAGAGAACAGCAGTCAAATCATAAGAGAACGGAAAAAAACCCAAAAGGATGGAGGAAGCGGCAGACGAACGACATGGGCACGTCAACACGCACACGCACGCACGCACGCACACGCACACACGGTTGCTGATGCAGACAGGTGATACACTGTGAACAACAGCAGAACCTCACACAGGGCCACTACGGGCATCCGTCATGCTCCGGGGAACAGGAGGGAGGGCGTAGGCAGTTTGGCGAGGGGGCCAGAAAAAAAGGAAACAGCCCCTCAGACCACCTTGGCCGGCGAGCAGGTCAGGGGGACAGGCTGTCTGCTTTGACCCCCTCCTTGATTCTTTCTCTCGCCCCCAGGGGCCGAGCGCGCCTCGCCTCCCCAGCCTTCCTGGCTGCAGCCTGTGGTCAGCAAGGGCAGCCTGACCGGGTGGCTCCCATTTGCCGGGTGGGTCAGAGGCTGCCTAAGGCGACCGCTGTGTCTGGGGGTCCGTCCAGCAAACACTCGGCTGCCCGGGACGTTCCACACCCACGGCCGCCCGGACTCCCACCCTGTCCCGGCCCGCGGTGGCCACCATCCCCAGGGAAGGGCGTCCCCGCTAAGAGCACCGGGAAGCTGCGGGGGGCCACGGGCCGGCCCCCTGCCGCTCGGCCTTGACCCTCGGTCCGTAGAGCCTTCAGAGAACCAGCACTCTCAGTGGTGAGACTTAGAGTCCATCACGGCAGTGTTCTCGGAATTCTACAGACACGCCCTGGCATGGCTGATGTCGTGTTTCACGGCTGCCTTACTCTGCTTGGCTCCCAAGGGGGCCCAAAGCGAGGCGGGGTCCCGAAGCTCTGACCCAGGAAAGGGTCACGAGGGAGGCTAGGGCGCCCTGGAGGGTAGGTTGCAGGGAAAAGGGGAGTCCACTGGAGAAGGGCAGCTCTGGGCCTGGCTCCCTGCCGGTCTCTGCTGCTGCCACCGTGCTCTCTGCTTCCTCCCACCCCCGCCTCCCCCTTCTCGGCTCCTTCACACCCCACATCCCCCCGACGGATGACTTTCTGGACTGACCCTTCTCACTGTCTTCTTTACTGATGGAGCCCTAACTGGTGCAGGCTGAGATCCCCCTCTCGGTGAAGCACCATCCAGTTATTCCAATTTGCGTTGTCTTGAACACGCTTCATTCACCATTTGGGGTCCTCTGTTCCCACCCAGGGCCCTGGGGGTCCCCGGCCCCACCCCTCCTCCTGGTTACCCCCGAGCTCACCCCCCAGCCCCTGGTCCCCTGCAGCACCCCGGCCTGTGCCAAGCCTGTGCATCAGGCTGGTCTCCAGTGTCCCCGGCTTCCACCCGCAGCGGCTCCTGCTCTCAGCTTTGGGTTTCCCTCAGGCTGTGTGGAAGGGAAGCCTGAGACTGTGACATGTCGCTGTGGATGAGATGCAACATAGCTGAGAGGTGACAATTCTAAGCCTAAATCTGGCCCCCGGCTCTGCCTTCTCTGAGGAGCCCGGGCCTCCCTGCCGGCCAGCCGGCTCTTCCTGCAGCAGATCCCCCTCCCGGAGACCAGGGCCCACCACGGCCCGCCTGCAGCCCCAGCCCCTCCACAAGGAAAACCCGCAGACCCACCACCCACGAGAGCCAACTGGCAGGCTGGTGAGGTGGGAGAAGAGGCCTCAGAGAACTGAGGGGCAGGGGGGGTACTCCCTAGTTATCCCGTGGTTTGGACTCCACGCTTTCACTGCCCAGGGCCCAGGTTCAATCCTCGGTGGGGGAACTAAGATCCCACAAGCCATGCGGCACAGAGGCACCAGGTGTCACCACGCAAGTGTAACCAAGGGGCGCCCAGGGACTCCCACCCAGTCCTGGGACGCCCACTCCTCCCCGCCCCGCTGGGCTCCTTCTCTGGCAGCCACCTTGCCTCCAGCCTCCCTTCAGTGCCTGCCTCTGGCCGATGCTGGGCATTCCACACAGCCCCTCCCCAAAGCTCTCACACACACTTGGCCCCAGCGTGTAAACACACTCTCACACTTAGCCTAAGGAGGCTCCCCTGGGTTCTGCCGGCTGGCCACTCCCTTCATGTGGGAACAGTGGCCCCTCTGCCCGCCGTGACCCCTGCCTGGCCGCCCTCTGGAACAGCCTCTCCGGGCCCAGCCCTAGACGTGGCAGCAGGGTCACGGACCAGCGTGGGGAACTTGAATCAGGCCTGGGAAGCACCCCCCCCCCCACCCCATGACCTGGGTGAGGAAGTTATGGTCAAGTTGAGCCAATTTAGATGAGGTCTGACCTGAAGCACCCGTACCTGCAAAGCTTGGAGCAGACGCTGTGCAAAAGCACACTCAGATCCAAGCCCAGGGTCCAGAGACACAGGGCGGGGCTCCCAGGATCCAGAGACACAGGGCTCCCAGGATCCAAAGACACAGGGCTCCCAGAGACACAGGGCTCCCAGGGTCCAGAGACACGGGGCTCCCAGGGTCCAGAGACACAGGGCTCCCATGGGGTCAGACCCGCCACTCAGCACGTTCTCCCCCTCAGCTCTCCCCCTGCAGAACTGCACAGCCAGGCACCTGCCCTCAGCTCAAGCTCAGCGTGCTCCAAGGTGGGACAAGGGACTTGGGTGTCTTCCTGGACCTGATATCATGTTCATGCTTCTGCCTGTTTCCTTCCTCTTAGTTTTCCAGTAAAGATTTCTTGGAGAAACTCCCATCTTAGCACAAGATAAGGGGCAGGGGCTGCAAGGATGCCAGGAACCCACCTAACAGGAGGCACAGACTGCATCCTACCCAGGCCTCATTTCAGGGAACCAGAGCCCAACCACACTTCCCTGCCCGAAGCTGCCCTCCCAGGGCCCCTCTCCTTCCCCAGAACCCCCTCACCCCAGTTCTGATTTGACCACCTCTAAGCCTCTGTCTTCACTACTGGCTCAGAGATCCCCCTCCCCGGGCCTCTTCACGCCTAGCCACGTCCCCTGAGCCCCTGCTCAGCTGACTGTCCTTCTGAGCAACCAGAACTCATCATCTGTAAACATCCCTTGTTGTTCTGTAAAATCATGCAACTTTAAGCTGCTTTTATAGCTGTTTCCTCCCTCCCTTGCTGGCAGCAGCCACTTCCCACTGCAGTCCCCGAGTCTGGCCCTTAGCTGGCACCTGCCTTCGGTTACAGCCTCTAACAGCCCTGGGCTGGGAAAGCCTGAATGCACCATTTGTTAAAATCCCGTGAATGCAGCCAAAAGGTCAACTTGAATGTAGGACTTACATGTTGTTTAGTCGCTAAGTCATGTCCAACCCTTTTGTGACCCATGGACTATTGTCTGCCAGTCTCCTCTGTCCATGGGATTTCCCAGGCAAGAATTATGGAGTGGGTTGCCATATCCTCCTCCAGGGGATCTTCCCGCCCCAGGGATCGAACTCACATCTCCTGCATTGGCAGGCAGATTCTTTACCACTGAGCCGCCAGGGAAGCATAAGGGTTATGTGACATCACAGTGTTCGAAGGGGACTGCCTAGTGAAGGCGTAGTCGGTCAGAGGGCTGACCCTAGAGAAAGGAGATGTTGTGATGTGTTCCCTCTGGTAGTCAGGAAACTCGGGTAGGAGAGAGTGGGGCGAGGATACAGGGGGGTTTATCATTCTCCCTACTTGAAGGAAGGGGTTAAGCAGCCTCCCGCCAAATCATGACTCAACCACTCAGTAGCTGATTAGCAAGTGACTTAATCTGTGTGTGTTCCAACTGTAAAACAGGAATAACAACACTGCCTACCTTATAGGCAGCGACAAGTATACAGTTATGTCTCAGAGTTGCCACTTACAAGAACAAAGCCTCGTGCATGGTGAGCATAGTGGGAAAACCTGCGGTTTTCATCTTTCCTGGCTTTTGTATTCCCTGGTGGAAGCACCACTCTGCTTTTTAAACTGTTCCCTCAAGTCCCCGCCGCAATTACTACGGCTAACTGGTTCTACCCTGAGGGCCACTTCTTACCTTCTGTCCCAAACAAATCCGCCTCCCTCACCCCTTCCTCTGACCGAGATATCCCCTCCTTTCTTGGGTCTTACTTGCATCGAGGTCTACAAGGCTAAGACAGGCTGCTGTCGAGGGAGCCACAGAATCCCAGGGCATGAGCCCCCAGCATGCCCCCACCTGAAAGCTCCTCTGATGGCTCCAGCACCTGGGTTTCATCACTGGAGAAATGGAAGCCCAAGAGGGGAAGCACCTTGACCCAGGTCATGCCCTGATGGCAGAGTTAACCTATGGAAGAAAACGTGCTCCATGTCACGAAAGGGCACTTCCACTGCACTGGTCCTCCCTCCTCTGGAAACGTGCCCTCTGCACCATCTGCTGGCTGCCATAGAGCTAGAAGCTCCACGCAGGCAGGATGGTGATATGCATCTCTGCCTCCCGTAACTGAGCACAGGAAAGTGCCCACACTGAATGGACGAGTGTGTGTGTGTGTGCACGCCCGCACGCGTGTGCTCATGTGCATTTCACGCAGACCAGAGATGGGCAGGGGCGGGAATTCAGGAAGCAACGGACGCAGACTTTGCTTTTCCAGCCTTGCTATGAATAGAGGCTCAAGAAACCTCTTGGAGAGAAGGTGAGTATGACTGCTCCCAGGTGGACAAAAGGGGTCCTACTGGCAGTGCGGGGATCTGAGAAGAGACTGGGAAACTGGAGCCCTCCCTCCCAGACTCCAGACTCTGACCCTTCACTGGGAGGTGTAACTGTCACGTGACTGACCTTTCTCCATCTCAGGTCACAACTACTCTGCCCTTGCAGCCCCTCCGGCCAGAAATCCAAGCGCCGTCCTAACCCTCTTTTTCTCACACCCCCTTGAATTCCTTCTGAACAGCACCAGCTCCTTCACAGCACCTCTAGTGACTGCCATCCCCCTGGACTGAGTGGTCCAGGCACTAGACCTCTGCTTGTGGCCCCATGGTCTATCAACACAGAAGCCAGCGATCCTACTCAAATGCAAGTCACCCACAGCCCTCTGCCCTGCAGAGCTCTCCAGTGGCTCCCTTAGCCCTTCATTTTAGCGGAGACGCTCAAGTCCATGCAGTGAACTGGGTTCCTACACGAGGTGGCCCTCCTCACCCCTGGGATCTCCTTTTCTGCTCTCCCAGCCCCCAACCTGCCATAGCTCTCCATCATCTCGGCCTACTGCTGGTCCTTGCACACACCACCTTGCCCTCACCTTGGAGCCTGTATACCATACCCCTCTGAACCCTGGCATGGCTCCCTGCCTTCCCTTCTTCAAATCTCTGCTCAAATATCACTTTCCCAGCTAGGTCTAGTCTGACTACCTGATTTAACTGTAACCAACAATTTCAAAACCCTATACAATTTACTCTTTGATCGTATGTCCTTGTTTGACATCTGCCTCCCTCGCTAAGGACAAGGATTCTGATCAGTATCACTCATGCTGAGCACCTAACAGTAGCTCACGCACAGAACTGTGGAAGCGGCAGAGGGCTGGCAGCCTGGTCCTGGCCCGGGAGCAAGTGGGATGGCAGGAGGGCACCGCAGTGGGGGAAGCCAGGCTGGGGGTGAACTCTTGATGACCAGGCAAATCTCCCCCCTCCCTCCCACCCCACCCTGCCCCAGGAAGCTGCTTCATCCACGGAGTATGTGGCCTGGAGGAGGAGTGGCCTGATGGTGCCTCCAGCTTTAAGGCAGGACTCAGAAAGCTGGGAAAAGTGACACCTGTCCACTCATCACGGGCTCTGAGAAGGGGGCAGGGTAAGTGGCCCCAGTCCCATACATACAGTCACCCTCCTCAGCCTCTGTCCCCTCTTGTTTTATTTTATTTTTTATTTTTTGTTAAAGTTCTCTTTGAAAAGTCCTGTTCCCTCCTCTCCAGACTGAGCTGTGGGGAACTGGAGGGGTGAGGTGTCAAGTGTTGACAGGCCTCCAGAGCTGGAGAGTGGAGAGCCAGGGAGCCTGGGAGAAGGCCCCAGCACATGTCTACAGCTCCCCACCACAAAGCCTAAGTCGCCCAAACTCACCTAGCCCTGACCTTGCCATCGGCTCACCCCAGGATTTCCTGGCAAACAAGGTTGCCAGTGTAGACCTTCTCAAAGCAGTTCCCTCCCTCCTGGCCCCTCTTGGCTCTGCAGCAGGGGGCTGGACATGCCCATTTCTGCCTGGGATGACCACAGCTCTGCGCCTGCCCCCTGGGAGCAGGTCGAGCCGGGCGCAGCGGGTCCAAGGCACAACGAGGGTCCTGGCAACAGAGGCCAGAGGAGGCGGCGGGTCCGTCCGGTGTCAACCTCCCCAACCTCCCCCGTCCCCGCGCCCCGGCCGATCCCGGTTACCTGTGCGAGTCCTGGTCTCCCCCGGGGGACACTCCCGCTGGCGCTCAGTACGGGCGATTGGCGTCTTTGGGCCGCTTCAGCTGCACCTTGAGCCTCTTCATGCCGATCTGGAAGCCGTTCATGGCCTGGATGGCGGTCTGCGCGCTGGCCGGGTTGTCGAAGCTCACGAAGCCTAGCGAGACACGAGGGACGAGGGCCTGGGTTTCCACGGGGCCGCCCCTGCCGGGAGGGGGCGGGAAGGGGAGTGGGAGAAGGGCGGGCGCCGAGGGCCGGGGGCGGGGGCAAGCCCCGCCCACTCCCCGCCCAGCCTCCGGGGCGGGGCTAGAGGCTCCGCCCTTCTCGGCCCCCGCCCCGCGGCCCCGGCCCCCGCACCCCTCCCCCACAGCCCTCGTGCACGCGGCCACTTTCGGGGCCCGCGCTGAGGAGGCTCCCGGCTCCCCGACCCGCGCGGGCCCAGGCGGGCCGCCCCCTCTCCGCCTCGGCTCTCGGCGGCGCCGCTGTCCCGGGCGCCCTCTCCCCCACCCCGGCCGGCCCCGGCACCTCAGCCCCCGCCTGCGGTGGGAGAGGGCGGACACACCTGCGGGCGGAGGAGTTTATTGGACACTGTCCTCCCTGACAGGAGGGGGCCTGGCAGCGGGAGGGCACGGGGGGCCGGCCTGGGGAGAGAGAGGAGTGCGAGGGGAGGGAGGGGAGGCGCCCCGGAGCGAACGTCGCCGCCGCCTATCCCGGCCGCCCCCGTGACAAGCGCCGCCGGCCGCGGGCCGGGGCCGAGGCGGGGTCCCCGCCGCCCCTCCGCCCGCTCCATCCAGGCCGAGGCCCCCCCAGCCAGGCTCCGGGTGGCCACCCGGCTCAGTCCACACTGGCTCGCGTGAAATGCCACCTCGCTCCCAGAGGCCGATCGCACCACCCTTGTATGTTTAGTACAGCTCCATCCTGGGAGCAGCGGCTCTTGCCCTGGACTAAGCACGCGCCCACTGACGCGTCCCCTGTGAACTACTCATAGCACTGATAACGATGTAACAGTAATAGTACAAATTGACACTATTAGCGAAAGTTCGCTGAGAGCCTTCTCCGTGTACTTCAGGCTGCAGAAGTGCTTGTCACATGTTCACTCCTCCCAACATCCCAGGACAAGGATATAGAACCATTCATGGCTCCCAGTCACCTGAAGCAAGCAGTTCCCAGGTGGGACTGGATTAGATTCCCAAAGTTGACACCTTTTGGAACTTCGAATGCATCTCCTATTTATAGACTACAGTACATCAGCATTTCCCAAAACGGCTCCAAACGGTGCTCCTTGAGAAAGGACTTTCTGTGGTCAGGTGGGTTTACAGCCAGGTCACTCTGGAACAGTTCCTGGCACATTAACCAACAAAAACATCCCCCTCCCATCCCAACTTCTCTCTTCTTTATGGCTTTTTTTAAAACCTTGTATTTTCTGGAATTTATTTGACTTTGGAGGCCTTTTCTCTAGTAAAATGGACTTAGACCCTGCAAATATGAAACTAAGCTTGGCAAAGTTTCCTGGCCATCCTGCAAATGTGCCTCATTTGGGGCGTTTGTCCCCAAATGGCCATTAGATATATAAGGGATAGATGTACAGACCCCGCCGAGGTAGAAAGCTGTTTCTTGGTTAACTATCTGCAGTCCCACGGTCCTGCCTGAGACCCCTTCCTCAGTCTCCCCTTGTGGTGACCCTTTCTCCCCTTAACCACCCGGACACTACCTCTTCTGGCCTCTTTTCTCTTTCTCCCTCCTGCATTTCTGCACATTTTTTCTTGCAACCATGCATCATCAAAGACAGGGGAGGGATGTGTGCAGGTACATGTGAGTGTACTCGAAGAGGGCTAGCATATGAGCTCAGATGAGACCGGTCACAGCTGGGCCCAGGGCAACATATCCAACATCTGTATTCATCTATACACCTAAATACACAGGAAGGATTTCGGATTATCCGTGGTTAGAAATCAGTGTGAGTCATCTTTACACCTCCCCCTCTCATGCCCTCCTGGCCCATCCCTTCCCCACAAAACTACAGTCAAGCTGTCAGCAGAGCAGTTTTCAAATGTGTGAATGGTGCATCTGTTACATCGCTCTCTTTTTAGGCAAGCTAAAAGCCTCCCTTCCTACCAGGACAAGATAACCTAACTGTTGGTGACAGCTCCCTCCCCGCCCCCCCAAAAAACAAACAAATATGGGCCAAGTAGGAAAGAGAAGGAACAAAGATAAAAAGGGCTGGAGATGCTGTGTAGGGTGAAGGTGTAAAAGGAGGGAGAGTTCTGGGAGGAGGCAAGAAGCCCAGCTTCAGGTTGAGTATTAGAAGCCTGGGGGTTGGGAAGGGTTCCAGGCTCAAGGAACTTTTCTTCCTGGCTAGCAGTCAGGGCAGGGACTCCCCGCTGGCCCCCTCGGCAAGGCTCTGGGCACCATCTCCCATGTACTTGGTTTTCAGGGCTGTGTCCTGTCTCCTAGAGCCCTCTGCCCCATTCCTCCCACCCCTGAGAAGGCGCCCGCCTCCCAGACCGTGAAGGCTGTGCAGGCAGGATGCCCTCCTGGCGGCCCTCCAGCCCGTCCTCCAACGCAAAAACCATTTGTGAGGCTCACGAAGGCCTCCAAAAGATTCTGTTTATGGTCATAAAGAGCAAGGGAAGACTCTGAGGAGTTCATTTTCACAGAGGACCACGTGTGGAGCAACATAGCCCTTTTAGGGGGAATAAAAGGGGCCCCAGCACCTCCTGAAGGTCCACTCTGACTAGGTCCCTCACATGGAATGTCTTGTGTAATGTTCACAGCATCACTGAGAGCTGACCCCTGAAATCCCCACTCCGCAAATGCGGACACTGACCCAGAGAGTAAGCGCGCCCGTGAGTGCGCTGCGGAGTCGCACAGGCTGGGCTGCCAGAGCAAGGGAGGGAACCCAAGAGACTGAAGGAGGAGCCACTGGGCCGGCCCGCTGGGCGGGATCCTGGCCTTTCTCAAGGGTGCTGGATGTTCAGTGCTAGATGTTTGTTCAGGAAGAGAGAAAGAACCAGAGCAGAGGTATACGGGGGAGGACTTCCAGAAAAAGTAGGGCAAGTCTTTTGCTGGAGAACTTGAATGAGCTAACGACAAGGATAATCTGGGGTTGACTGGAGGGAGCGGCACAGCATAGATGCCAAGGGAAAAGGCTGCAGACTGAGCCTGCTCCAGCCTGGGTACCCAGCAAGTCTGGGCTCTTTGCAGTTTTCTTCTGACTTATGGAACATCTGAGGCTTACTTAGAGACCAAATGCACCTGCCAGTCTGCTGTTTTTACATACGTAACTGTAATTTGTCAGAAGAAACACCAAACAGTGGAGGGGTGCACCCCGGTCTTTTCCTTTGGCCTTGTTCTCCCATCCCCCAGAGAAATGAGCTGCTGGGCAACTCTATGCCTCTCAAGTACCATGGATTTTTAGTGGCAGCTGCTAGAAGGGGACACTGTGCAAAGATCTTGACTGCCTTGGGGAGCATCATTTCCACCCCGAAGCCTTCCATGGACCTGGAGAACTGATCTCCAAACTGGAATCTCCTTAACAGGCACTTCTGCACTTTTGTGCCTTTTCCCCTCCCCCATCCCCAAGAGGGGACTCAGGTTCCCTGGTCAAATAAGGATCCTATTCTGTCCTCATAGCCCCTGAACTTGGGGGTCATCCTGGAGGTGCTGGGCTGACTCAACTCTGGTTCCATGTGTGGCTGTCTGGGGACCAGAATCCTCAATTCTGGGGGACTCAGGAGTAGATCAGACCTGAGAAAGCAGCTCTCATGGAGGCAGAAGAGGTGGGAGAGGAGCCATGGTGGAGTGGAGAGGAGAGGTGCGGGGATGAGATGGGTTTCCAGGAGGTCTGAAGCAAACTAAAACTCGGGAAGCCCAGCTGAACTGGAATTTCAGATAAGCAATAAATACTTTTTTAGTATGTCTCCAATATTGTATGGGACACATTGCACATAATATTTGGGACATGTGTGTGTGTTAGTCACTCAGTCATGTCCGACTCTGTGACCTCACGGACTGTAGCCCACCAGGCTCTTCTGTCCGTGGAATTCTCCAGGCAAGAATATTAGAGTGGGTTACCATTCCCCTCTGTAGGGGCTCTTCCCAACCCAGGGACTGAACCTGGGTCTGCCACCTTGCAGGCAGATTCTTTACCTTCTGAACCACCAGGGAAGACCCATTTGGGACATATGTATACTAAAAATGTATCTGTTATTTATCCAAAATGCCAATTTAACTAGGTATCTTGTGTTTTATCTGACAACCATACTCCTAGATCCTCCCAAGTCCTTTGTCTCCCATCTAACACTCTGTTCAGGAGAATTTCCCAAAGGTATCTTCACCCCGTTACTCCCTCATCTTCCACTGCCTACAGTACCATATGAAGCATCTTCACCTGAATGATTGAAACCCTCCCCGGCACAGACTTGCCCTCACAGCTGGTCTCCCCTGAACCTTCCTTTCTCCCCAAAGCCTCCAGCTTCCTCATTCACTAGCCTCTGACTCTCCTCATCCCAGCCCCCATATGCTCATCCATTCTATTTCCCCCTGCTTGGAATTCCCTCCCCTTCTGTCTGCTTGCATCCACCTGCCTGTCTCATTCCTCCATTAGTTGGTGCCTGGCAGATCTCACTGCCATTGAATAGATATGATTTTCATCTAAGCTCAGACCTGAGGCTTCCTGAGGGCATGGACCAGTTTCCTCTTCCTGATTCCTCGACAGTTTCGCTCTGGTGGCCTGAGGGGTGGGGTTTCAGGGAAGACGGTGCATTGGATGGCAAGAAGGGAGCAAAGAGCAGGGTAGACAGAGAAGGGGGGCAGGCGCAGGACAGAAGGATGGACAGAGGAGGCCAAGGGGCCAGTGGGGTAGAGACTTCAGTCGGGTGAACCCCCCACCCCAAGGATCATGCTCAGCTTTGACCCCCAGGGCCACTGTAGACTTGAAAGGAGAAGGGTGCTGGGAGAATGGCTGTTGTGAGGCTCTGCTCCCTGCCCCTCCTCCTTCTGCCCAAGACGGGTCCCTTCCCTTCTCAGTTGGTGGGAATTGAGCTTTGGGGCTGGGAGAGGAGGCTCTCCCTTGGACTGGGGGTGGTGGGTAGGAGACTGGATGGGAGTGGGCAGGGAAAGCCAAGAAACCAAAGAACGGAAGAGAGAAAAGGGTGAGAGATGGAGGCTGGAGGCTGGGCACAGGAGCACTTGGGAGTGGGGGTGCGGCGATGTGAAGAAGCATGTTAAAAGCAGTTGGACACCGGTAAATTGGTGCGAACACCACCCTGTCCTAGGTGAAGTTGGTTTGTTATCTTTACCCACCAAAGCATTTACTTTGGTTAGTCGCCCGATCCACAAACACTTTCGAGGAGATGACATTACCGAAAGGGAGGAACATCTGCATCAGCTCAGCGTCCCCAAACTCCTGGGGCAGATGGTAGATGAACAGGTTACAGCCCTCGGGCCCTGCGGTGGGGGGGGGGGGTCGGGGGAGGAGGGATGGCGGGGTGGGGGAAGAGAGAGACAGAGGAGAGGTGAGCGAGTTAGGCAGCGGCAGCAGGGAGGGGTAGGGGCGAGGTTAGGAGGGGGGTCTCATCCAAGGTCCAAAAGCGGCCACGGAAAAGTGGGGAGCTGTTGAGCCTGGGTCTGAGCTCTGGTCTCCACTCTGCCCTCGAGCAAGTCTCTGAACCTCTCTGTGCCTCAATGGTCTTTTCTGCATCACAGGGTGCCTGGCAACTCTAGGACTCCAGGGGTGTAGGCAACAAGTGAATGGGGTGAAAGTGCCTGATTAGTCTTGGAGGAGAGATGCTGAGGAGAGGCAGTGGGTAGGGAGACCTGCCAAGCACCTCCCCAACAGGGGAGGATGGAGGGAAGTGCTGGGGGCAGCCCTGTCTCTGCAAGCCTCACTCCCCATTTTCCCCCAGCCAAAGGCAGGACTCTGGGGCCTGGAATGCCCATCCTCTGTCCTGGCCTGCAGCCACTCTTTCCCACTTGATTCCCAAAGGCCTTACCCTCCACTGCTCTGAACCTTAAAGTCAGCCCTAATCTTGAAGGTGGAAACCAAGATTTATCCCACCTGCTGCAGCAAGCCAGGTGAGCAGAAAGGGCTTCATAGAAAGGTTTCGTGATGGGATACCCACAAGCAAGGATACCACCAGCTTCATCATATAAAAGACTCCCCATTTCAACAATAAGAGCCCTACCACTTGTAGTGCTAACTGCATGCCGGGCTGCTCTGTACACTTTATGTATATGTTAATTCACTTAATCCTTACAGCTGCCTTGAGGCTACTGTCATCCCCACTTCACAGATAGAAAGCTGAGGCCAGAGAGGTTAAGTCACCTGCCAAGTCACGTAGCTAGAAGGTGATGGAACCAGGATATGAACCCAGACCCAGGCTGTCTGTCTCCATGATCTGCATCCTCCTCTCTCTCTACTTCCCTATCATAAATTTCAGTGCCCCAGAAATCCTGAATCCTCTTGGACTCCAGATAGCTAAATTTCCATATAGCTAAAGATTTACATGTTTCTTTTAAAATAAATTTATTTTTTTATAAAAATTAAAACATACTGGCAGTTTCTTTCAAAATTAATTATGAATTTGATGGGGGAGTATGTAATTTCCTCGTTTCTGTCTCACCGCAGCAAAAATTTGAAGCGACAGATGGAAGAGTGTTACAGCTCAGTTACAGCTCAGTTTACATGTTTCTTTTTAAATAACCAAAAGGCTGAGTTTTAGCTCTTTGAATGAGAAATCTCTCCAAGCTGCTTCCTCTTTTTCTTGCATGTAAAATAAAGTGTGCCACATAAAACTTGACCTTTTAAACTGTGTGTGTGTGCTCAGTTGCTAAGTCGTGTCCCGTTCTTTGTGACTCCATGGACTGTAGCCCACCAGGCTTCTCTGTCCATGGGATTCTCCAGGCAAGAATACTGGAGTGGGTTGCCATTTCCTACTCCCGGGGATCTTCCTGACCCAGGGATGGAACCCATGTCTGCTGCATTGCAGGTTGATTCTTTACCACTGAGCCACCTGCGAAGCCTAACTACTTCTGACATACTTCTGACTTCTATTTTTACATCTTCCATCTATTTCTGTGCCCTTGAGGGTCATAGCTGATAGCTAAGAGTCCTCTGACCACCAAAGCCTCCCTGTGAACCAATGAGCTCCTCGGCCCTGGTCCCTGCCCCACACCATCTGCCCATCCCTACTCTCTGGCCTCCACTCCCTGGACGGCGCTTTCAGAGCAGGTGCAAGCGAGCTCCCTCACCCACTGCCAGGGGTCCCGGTGCAGAATTCCTCAAGCCCTGGTGGCCCTTCCTCCCCACCACACCCACCTCCCTTCCCCTCCAACCATGGCATGTTTTCACTGGTTCATACCCTGTGGATGTGTCCCTTGATAGTTCCCAGCTAGATGTGAGTCCCCACAGCTCTGGGGCTCCCACCGCCCATATTCTGGGCAATACTGAGGCTCTTTCTCCAGTAGGTCTGGGAAGATTTCTCTCCAGCCAGAAGGGGGCGCTTTCTAGGGGGCAGGAGCATTTGCCTTCCCCATACTCCTACTCTGCTCTCCCTGCACTCTGACACCCATCTTGAACTTGGGGGCCTCCCTACAAGCTCAAGTCCTGCAAGCTGCTTGGATGTTATTTCTGTTCTCCTTAAAAGAGACGAGGAGCCTAGAGGGGCAGAGCCTCTGCATTCAGTCCCCTCAGCATTGTGTGGCTGAGCCCCACAGGGCCAGCTCTCCCAGTCCCAGGCTAGCCCCCTGCCCCCTCGCCCCCAACAGTGGGCCTACACATTGTCATTCTCGGGCTACCCTGGAGCCCTCAGTGCATTCCCTAATTCCCAGATTATCAAGCATCCAGATGGCACAACCATAGGACTTTGGATATCAATCTGGTACAACCCAGCCTTCGAAGAAAAGAGAAATGGAGCTCCAGAGACAGAAAGTGATGGGCCTGGAGTGCACCATGTCCCCTGGCACAACAACCCAGGTGGTCTGGGGCAGGCATCCTCGGGGGCTTCAGGAATCTGTTCTCAGGGTCAACTCAAAGATAAGGGAGCTGGAAGGTGGTTCCTGCCCAGCAGCCAGCATGTTCCGGTATTTCAATGGCATTGACACAAGTGGTGGTGACCACGTGGAAAGAGGCTAACCACTGGCATGCCTGGAGGAACACAGCCTTCTTGTTCATGCCTCATGCAGAACTGGACATGACTTTGGTCTGGCTCCATCCCACTCCATTTCCAGGCTCACCTCATACTTGGCAGCACCCATGCCTTGCCTTTACTCCTGCTGTTCTCCCTGCCTTGGATACCCATCTCCCCATCTCCAAATCTGAAGACTTCAGGACCCCAAAGAATTCCCCAAAGACCCCACTCCCAGCACCGTGAGCTCACCCCTATATGCAGTGTACCTCTCTAAAGATCTAGGTTCACATCTCACCCCTCCCCCTTCCCTGCTCCCCCAGGGTACCCAAGTCAGGGAGGATGGGGACAACAGTGGGAGGCCCCCCTGCCTGAGGGGAGGCCAGAGTGGGGACTGGTGTTGCCAGAGTGACGACACAGGGTCTGGTCTAGGGAGCAGGGCATGGGGGTGGGAGGGCCTGAAGCTGCTCTGAGATGGAGAGAAGGTACGTGGAAGAGTTCAGAGCTAGATGCATGGGCTGGTACAAAGTGTGAGGTAGCAGGTAGGACAGGGAGCAGATGAAGGGGATGGGTTTATGCCAGTGGTAGGGGCTGTCCTGTGTGTTGGGGTAAGCAGCACTGATCTGCAGCTGTGTGTGTGTGTGTGTGTATGTGTGTGTGTGTGTGTGTGTGTGTGGAGACCTCTGAGCCACAGGCCAGAGTGATGCAGGGCACTGACTACAAGGTAAGGGTGGGTCAGCCTGACGTCACAGTGGTGACAAAAGCAGTAAGGGCCCTTGGGCACAGTTCTGTGCCTAAGATGGGCAAAGCTGGACCCCACCACTTGTGACTCTAATCTGACTGATGTGGTTCTGGAAGGCATGGACTGGAGGGAGGAGGGCAGGGCAGGCTCCAGGGCCACAGCCCAGGGAGGGGACCTGCTGCAAGAGGCAGGCTGATGTCCTATCCCCCATCCCCACTTCACTGATGGGCTCAGGTGTGACTTGGAGCTGCAGCAGCACGTGGCTGCAGGAGTGAGCAGGGGACCTCGCTGTGCACCCAGCTGGGTTCCTGCGGCTTGATCTTCACGGGCCCTGGGAAGATGGTGACACAGGTCTCGGGAGCGGCCCCCTGCACGTGAAATGAGAGAATGCCTCACGTACAACTTTGGAGGGGGTGACCAACTGGTGAGAGAAGGGCGGTATGCACAGTGAGAAATCAGCAGGTCACTGCTGGAGACTGGAGACAGTCTTGAGCTAGGTGATCCTCACACCCCTCCAGGGAGTGACTGCCACTGTCCTCATTCTACAGGTGAGGACGCCAAGGCTGAGAGAGGAGAGGCCAAGCTAGGACTCGAACCTAGAAGGGTTTGCTTCAAAGGCCAGGCTCTCAGCTGTCCAGGCTCTGGGGCCTGTTTGGGACCACAGAGCTTTGGACTAACAGCCCCTAGGTCGTTTCCAGGACTAGCCCACCTCCCATAGCTCTGGGACTGTCTGCTGCAAGGACTACGAGCAGCGATCTGGAAACCACTGGACCTTTCTGGCCATGTGGGCTACTGGAGTGGGTGCGGTGGCCTCACTGGCAGAGTGACCCTTTCCATGTGGTGGGAGACAGGACCCCATCAAACTGGTCTCTGTGAGCATCTCCGAGCTTGGACTTGTTATCCAGTCCCCATGGGGCTCCAGACTCTGCAATGGGAAGACTCTTAGGCTCTCCAGGAGGTTCCAGCATCTGAGGCCCATTGGCCTGCTGCCCTGCTCACAGCAGGGCCTCAAAGGTGGCTTTCTGGGATCCCCTTATTTTGCTAGGCCTACACCGGGGCACCCCATCCCCTCATCCACCCTTGGATCCTGCCCTGGGAGCTCCAGGTGGGCTCTCCTGCTCACCGAGAGGGCACAGCTTCTGTCCTAGATGGAACTGGTCTCCCCACTCCTGCCACCACCCCAGCCATAAGCATCCCTATGTCTCCCCTTCCTCTCCGCTGGACAAACACTGCCCATTGTGGGAGGGGCGACTCCTGGACCCTACCTCCTCCAGGCCCCCACCGTCCTGACCTCCCTCCAGTGGGGTTTGAAGAGTTGCCTGTGACATGCACCTCCGCTCCACCTCTCACAGGCCCGCAACCCCCCTCACCCTCGGCACAACGCAGACATGGTCACCGTGCCAACAGAACACCACCGCCAAAGGCCTGGGGGAGCAGCCTCTTTGGGGGGAGAAGGGGGAGGGGCATAGGAGCCCCGCTGGCAGACTCACCTTCTCTCTGTTGCTGGGGGATCATTGGAGGTGGCTGAGGAAAGGCCTGGCTTATCTGACCATAGGCAGCAGGGTAGGCGGCTGCTGGAGGACCCAAGGGAAGAGGCAAGAGCAAGAGACGGTGACAGTGACACGAAGAGAGACAGGGTGAGAGGCAGGAAGAAAGAGAGAAGTTTCAGTGGTGAGCAGTCAACGCAGACCAGTGAAAAAAATGCACTTTTAACATAAAGTCCGTTTTTAGCAGTAATGAAGGAGAAGCAGCAAAGGGAAGACTAGAAGTTGCATACATGCACTGGTGTGTGTGTATGTGTGTGTGCATGCCAGTATATGCATGTGTGTGTGCATGCCGGTGTATGCATGTGTGTGTGTGCATGTGTGTGTGTGTGCCAGTGTATGCATGTGTGTGTGCATGCCAGTGTATGCATGTGTGTGTGCATGTGTGTGTGCGTGCCAGTGTGTGCATGTGTGCGCGCATGCTTGTGTAGGCATGTGTGTGCATGTGTGTGCGCATGTGTGTGTGCATGCCGGTGTATGAATGTGTGTGTGCATGTGCGTACACATGTGTGTGCATGTCAGTGTATGCATGTGTGTGTGCATGCCTATGTATAAATATGTGTGTGCATGCCGGTGTATAAATGTGTGTGTGCATGCTGGTGGGTGCATGGGGGAGGCGAGTTTAATTTGCTACAAGGGACAACCCACATGTGCAGATAATCCACAATAATGGATAATCAAAAACATCAGAATGGAAAGGATGGCCCCACACCACCTGGAACCCACCAGGTTTCCCCTTCTCTGAGCCCCAGCTGCCTCGGGCTCACACAACCTCACCCGTGCTCAGATGGCACCTGTGTGGGAGGTGGGGAGTCACCCTAGGTGTGAGCTTGGCCTCTGGGATCCTGCCAGTGGCTGGTTCCCCAGGGGCTGAGGACTGAGTTGAACAAATCTGATGCTTTCTTATTCAAATGGAAAAAGGGTCAGAGGAGGCACAGGACTGGCTATACCCTCCTCAGCCTGGCCTGGCTCCCGAAAGGGTTCGGGGGGCTCGGCAGGTGAGGAAGAGAGCTTCCCCTGGACTCTCGGTGACAGCCAGCTCATGTGAACCCCCATATACCAGGCAGCCCCGTTACCCTCCGGGGAGACACTGCCAGCTCATCTGCACACAACAAGTAGGGACCCTGATGGGGCCAGACAGCAGGACCCTGGTTGGCAGAGATGATTGTGGGGTGTGTGTGTGTTTGCACACGTGTGTGTTATCCAGCCCAGAGGCAGGAGAGAAGCTTGGCTGACAGCTGACCTTGGGCTTCCCACAGTAGCTCATCACCTCCCCATTCAGTGACCCGAGGCCACCTGCCCACTTCTTTTTTCTACCTCTGGCGGCCTATCCTCCGTGTTCCCTGTCTTCCTCGCTCGGGCCCCACTCCTGTTGCCTGTGTGTGTCTGAGAGTTGGGGGGAATGGAAGCTGCTCTCCTTCAAACAGGCATCTGTGCTTTCTGGGCCAGTGGCCCCCCAGCTCCAGTCTCATGCGGTGCTGCTGGGAGGCTGGTGCCCCTGGACAGACCCACCCTGGCAGCACCACGGGGGCGGGACATCTGGCCTCAGAGATGCCGCTTCACAGCAAGACTAAAGCTTAGCCCAGCTCACCAGCTCAAATGGGGTTCTGACCCCCCGCCACTGCCAGGATGAATGAGGGTGAGGTAATCTGAGCCTGATCACCAAAGGACGCCTGCAGAGAGCGAGGCAGCCTGGTGGAGGGACCACAGCTCCCTGTCAGCCCCTCCCCACTCCCCCGAACCCCCACACTGCTAAGCCCAGGCTTGGGTGGGGCGGGGCAACAGTGCCCAGGCACAGGGAGGTGCCCGCAGCCAGGGGCCACCGTGGGGACCACCGTGGGGACGCGTGGATACTAACGACCTGCATACTGCTGCACTCCGGCGTAGGCCTGCTGCAGGGGGTCCGCGGCCGTGGGGCTCTGCGCTGCAGGGGAGCCAAAGGGCAGAGGTCAGCAATGCCTGCTCAAACCAGCCCCTCCCCCGCCACGCCCCTGGAGATACCGCTGCAGCCACACTGCCTTCCCGGCCACTGTGGTCCCTGTCCTGGGGCATCTGAGGCAGGCTCCCTGAATGGCTGGGAGAGGGCGGCCCTTTCCCCAGCCTGGGCCCTCGGGAGGGTGGTGGGCTGCTCCCCCTGGGTGGGGGCTACAGGCTGCCGCTTTAGGGGGCAGCAGAGGGTTTGGGGGGCTCATGCAGAAGGCTGGGGAGGGCGGGGAAGGAGACAACAGAGGGGGCTCGACCATGAGGGGCTGGGTGGGGGAACACCTGAGGGATGTGGTCCTAGAGAAGGCCTGTGTGAGAGCAGGCAAGGGGGCCAGAGGCTGTCAGGAGGGTGGTCTCCTCCTCACTTATCCCTAGTCCCCAGCGGAACTGGGGGGCAGAACCTGAAAGAGCATGGAGGCCTCATCCTGCCATTCTCTCTGGGCCACCCACGCCTGCTCAAATAGAGGGACCCCCTCCCAAATTCTTTAGGAGTTTGCATGAGGCACACAGGCCTTCCATTCCCGGGCATGCCCGTGGTAGGACCGACCACACAAATGAGATCTGCCCCACGGTGCCCACAGACATCAGGGAACCAGAAGACCAAGGGCCTTATCACACCCAATCTCATGACTGGATATCCACCGCCCAGTGCCAGAGCACCAGAGGCTGATACTTTGGCAAGCAACCCGGGGAAGCTGGACCGGGGAACAGGCTTGGTTCACTTCTGTTGCCTTTGTGGTGTCTGCAGACATGGTGGGCAAAAGTCTGGATGGTGCATGGACCAACGGTGAGCTCTGCCTTTGGTGATGCAGGTCAGTGATGACCAAAGTGGGAGTGGGCTGGCCTTGGGGGCCCAGGGAGGTGGATGGGGAAATATCCAGCCTCATTACCTTTGAGACCAGCTGGAGAACACAGGGAGATAGAAAGGAAACCATCCAGGTTTATCTGCCTGGTGACCCAAGCTAGCCAAGCTAACTGGCCATGCCAGGCTCTGGGGCCAGTAAACCAGGAAGAATTCCCAATCCTCCTGTCTGAGCTCCCTCCCCTGAACCTCTCAGTAAAGTCACACCAGAATGATAGCACTGGGTGTCAGGGGGGCAAGGGAAAGTCCTGGGCCAGAGGTCCTCGGGGGAGGGCACAGCTCAGAGGGGTGAGCTAAAGATGGGTAAGGATGCAGGTTCCTTCCCACCTGCGGTTGTCTAGGACAAAACCTATCCCTCTGTTTCACCCAGGGTGGACACTGGAGAGGTGGCGGTGGTGGTGCTTGGCCACGTGACCGCCTGCTCCCTCCCCACCTGACTCTTGCACCAGCCCTAGCTCCCTGGAGAGAGAGAGCTATCTTGCTTGTCCTCGTGGTCTACCCAGCTCTGGAACTGACCTTTATACCATCTAGAAAAAAGATATCTCTTCTTTGGGCAAAGTTTGGGCCCTAGGCAGAACATAATGTGTATGACTTATATGGCAGGTCCCTCTGCAACGATGCCAGGATCAGAGCAAGTGCTCAGCAAATAGTGCGACGCAGAGAGGAATGAACAATCCTTATCATTTCAAAAGCCACCCCTTCATGGTGTTATGTGGCAGAAAAGGCCACACTGTGCGCTTCCGGCATGATCTCGAGGACAAGAGGGGAGAGTAGAGATGCTACCTGGGGCTAGGTAGTGGAGAAAAGCATTTCAGAGCCTCCTCTCTACTTCTCTGCTTAATGGCCTCATTAGTAACTGCCAAAGAATGAACACTTTGAAGGATCTCGCTCATTATAGCAGCTCCAAACTCCACATTTAAAGATGGTAAATTAATTTTTTTAATGTACTACTTTTTTTCTTTCCTTCCCTTCATCCCTCCCTCCTGCTTTGGCAGGGGATTGTTTATGGGATGTGCCAGATTGTTACAAATGGGGGAGAGAAACCCTTCCAAATTCCACGAGGGAAATAGTTCACAGATGTTGGTGGGGGTGGGGAAAGAACAGGTTTGTCAAAATCCAGAGATCCAGATGGGCCTGTGGGCAGGGAGGGGAGGGGGCGGTGAAACCACTCAGATGTGCTGGGGACTGTATCTCCCAGCCCACGAGCCTGACTGAGGAGGAGCCCAGGAACCTGAGATGGGTGGGGTCTCTCCCACCTCCAGCTTGCCAAGCCCCTCCCAGCCTGGAGCCTTCGCCCTTCAACAACACTTCAGATCCCCCTCTAGGCCCTGTCACTTCATCCTCTAGGCTTCTCTGACCTCTTTGCTATGCACTGAGGGGTGAGGTGTGGGAAAACACGGGGAAGGGATAAACAGCAACTCCAAGTTCAAAGTCAGGAAATTCTCCTCCATTTCTCTCTGGCTTGGTGACCTTGTCCTCTGCTGCTGGTGGAGCTTCTATATTCTCTGGGTGTCTGGGCCTCACTCCAAAATGCTGAAATCAGAATCTGGGCGTCTGTGGGTTTGCAAAACCACACAGTAGATTCTGGCGGGCAACAAGAGTGCGGAGCACTAATGTGCCCCCCAAGGCTGCCCTCCTCTGCTCTAGTTGGGCCAACGTCCTTACACCCTCTGCCCCACCAGGACGGCCCCTCCGCAGCATACTGCTCCTTGCTCATCCGTGCACAATGAACTCTCCCTTCATTTGAATCCTTAAGCATCTCAAGTCAGAGAACACTCACTCTTGATGAAACTCTGCTGTACCATATTGCCTCATTATTCTGCTGATGCATACTGTACTCCTGCCTGGATTCTGATCTCCTCAGAGATCAGACCATGTCCTGCCCTCTTTCTGGGGCCCCCCTTTCATATGTCACAGATTGGGCACTAACTGGAGCTTATGGGGACTCTGTGACCTCATCACCTGCCCTCCAAGAAGGAGGACACAGCTCTCATCATCCTATTGCATTGCCTCTTACCGGTCTACTCTAGAGCTTTGGGCCCACCTTCCCTGCTCCAATGCAAGTCCACCCTCAAGACCAGAGAGAGGCCCTGCTTCAAGTCAACTGGGCAGTCTTATCACAGAACTGCCAAATTTTAGAGGAACGAAGTTATTCAAATTTTAGAGGAACAAAGAGAGAGTCCCTTGGACTGCAAGGAGATCAAACCAGTCAATCCTAAAGGAAAGTAGTCCTGAATATTCACTGGAAGGACCGATGCTGAAGCTGAAACTCCAATAGTGTGGCCACCTGATGCAAAGAAGTGACTCATTGGAAAAGACCCTGATGCAGGGAAAGATTGAAGGCAGGAAGAGAAGGGGACAACAGACGATGAGATGGTTGGATGGCGTCACTGACTCAACGGACCTGAGTTTGAATAAACTCTAGGAGTTGGTGACTGAATGGGAGGCCTGGCATGCTGCAGTCCATGAGGTCACAAAGAGTCGGATACGACTGAGTCACTGGACTGAACTGAAAGTTATTCAAGGGCAGGCCTCCTGGATCTTCCTGTGTGCCAGAATTCAAAGCAGGACCCAGGAGCTGTCCAAGGTTTTGGTCCTCTGTTCAAGGTGCTGACCACAGTTTTGGTACGCAGCAAGGGACCGACTTGGTGGGTACTAACCAGTCTAGCAATCTGTATACCTCCACTTCCTTCCTGGAAGAGTCTTTTCCTACTTAAAACTAAATATAATTATTCTTTTGGCATCTATTCCCTCACTTCTTTGGGTCAAATTCACTCTCAAGTAATCTGTAGTTACTAGCCTCTCTTTTGGGGAAGGCAATGGCACCCCACTTCAGTACTCTTGCCTGGAAAATCCCATGGATGGAGGAGCCTGGTGGGCTGCAGTCCATGGGGTCTCGAAGAGTCGGACATGACTGAGCAACGTCACTTTCACTTTTAACTTTCATGCATTGGAGAAGGAAATGGCAACCCACTCCAGTGTTCTTGCCTGGAGAATCCCAGGGACGGGGGAGCCTGGTGGCTGCTGTCTATAGGGTCGCACAGAGTCAGACATGACTAAAGTGACGTAGCAGTGTAGCAGCTTCTCTCTACCTGGTTGGACAACTCATCTATTCTCTTCTCTGCCCTGAGGGAGTCCCAGAAATGGGTTTTTTTCTCACCCATCAGACCGACAAACATCCATGGATCTGTCTTCTCTCCCATCAGAGGCTCCCTGAAGGAGGGCAGGATCTCTCCCTGATCACATTTGGTGTTCCACCAAAGAACAGACAGAGGGAAGGAGCCACACATTCCCATGATAACAGTGAGGGCAGGGGCAGGAAAGGATGAGGAGCATGCCGCATGGAGAAGGAAGGGGTACCAGATGTGCTTACCTGGGTAGGGGTGGATGCCATTGGCAAATACAGCTTCTGCAGCAGGTTGCCCATTGGCCTGTGGGGGGAGGCCGGTGAAGCCGTTCACCCCAATGGGGGACGGGATGCTAGGCACGGCTGGTGCAGTGATGCCCGGAGGGGTGCTGCCTCCTGGTTTTAGAAGTGATGCGGGGTGGAGGAGGGGAGACAGGCAGAACAAAGGCAATGAAGGTCGACCCATGGATCTCCACCCCCTGGCTCCAAGGGCCCGGGCACAGACTTGGACCTCACACATCAACTCAGTCCGACCTGTGAATCAGGCCTTGGGTTATCTCCCTACGTGTAACGACTCTACTCATCCCAACTGTATCTATTCTTCAAACTGGAGTCCAAATCCCACCTTCCCTACAAAGCCTTCCCTGACCACTGACTGCTCAACCTTGGAGCTGTAGCACATAGACCTCTAAGTGTCCATGACTTTGACCACAGTCGGTCTTCTTTTAGTCTTTTTCAATGGTTCGTGCTCACCCCAGCTAAGTCAGGATGGACTGGTCCTTGTTTGGCCACCAAGGGGATTCTAAGCTGTGGCTCTGCTCTCCGCTATTTGACTGGAACACTGATGGGCTGATTCTGTCTTCCCATGAGGGAGTCTTGATACTCAGGTGGAGGGAGTCTTAATTGTGGTACTTTCTTGCATTGAGGGAGAAAGGCCTTTGCAGAGTTCAGATTCAGCCCTTTTCATATACAAATTAGACACCCTGGCTACCTCCAGTTAAGACAATGGTGATGCTCACTATGGTGAGGGTAAAGTTGGGATTAGATGACAGCACACTGCCCTCCCTACACCAGGTGTGGATGGCGTCTTTATTGTACTGAGGCCCCAGAGGCTGGGAAGGGCCTTCCTCTTCATGTAGGAAGCAGGGAGGGTCTCTCTGTGGATAAGGACCTGAGGTCATCAGGAGTGTCTCCAGGTTGGGGGTCAGAGCTGTGGGGTGGTGCTCAAGTTGAGGCTAGAGATGGCACAGCCTTTTATAGTTTTTAGCTGGGAAAGGAATAGCTCCTGGATGTTGGGATACTGCTACTATGGCCTGAGAGCAGAAAGCCAAGGAAGCTTGATGAATGAGAGCCCAGTCCTTGGAGCTAGACAGGGATGCTTCACTTTGAAACTACTGGCATTTATGGCCACACATTTCTTTGAAGGGAGCTATCCTGTGCATCACAGGATATTTAGCAGCATCCCTGCTCTCTATCAGATTATAGTACTCCTTCAGTTGTGACAACCAACAATGTCTCAGGACATTGCCAGGTATTTGGGGGCAAGGGGCAAAATTGCCCTGGTTGAGAATCATTGAACTGGATAACAGCCAAGATCCAATTAAAAACATGCTTTGTAAGTAGAGCTGTTTTCAACCCCTCGGTACTTTAGCAACTCTTGCAGTTCTCTCTTGCTTGTTCTGAAGTTGTCTTGGAAAAAATCAGTGAATCTAGGTTGGGTTAAAGGAAAATGAAAAATGGGGCTCCTTCTGTGGTTGGACCAGGGACCAAACAGGGCCACAAAATGGGCAGAGCTCTTCTCCCTCAGACCTCAAAGGGAGATGTGTTCATGTCAATTTCTTTCCAGATCTCTATACTACAGATCAACATGAACTGCTTCCTGACATGGCTTAACAACTCAAGTGAAACTGTCGCCACTCTGAAATCGTATCTTGGACAGCAGGGGTTCCACATCCCATCTTCCCATGGGTCCTTAGGAATTAGAACATTTTTGAGACAAACTGCTCAAGGATGATGCCAGCACTGGGCCCAGACACCCGGTGCTCTTGACACAGGATGGTCCGTTTGTAGCTGAAATTCGCCAAACCAAGGTACCAACCTGGGTTCAGCAGCTTTCCTGCTAGGCCAGGCCTCGTGTTGGTACCTGCCCACTCACCTGAGGTTGGGGTCATGGGTGCGGCCGCCAGGCCGTTCATGTTGAGGGCCGCCATCTGCTGCATCTGGGCGGCGGCGAAGGCAGCCATGGGGTTCAGGTAGCCGCCCTGTGCGACTGATGCCATTAGGGCCGCTTGCTGCTGCATCAGCTGGGGCAGAGGGAGTGGAAAAAATATCATGCGCTTCCAGGAGGGCGGCCCTCCCCACCAAAGGGTCATTCAGCTCCTGTTCCTGGAGACCAGCTCCCAGGCCATCAACCCCAAGGAGCTCAGATGCATGTCTCTCCTCCCCTCTCTGAGAGCCCTGAGCCTTCCCCACACCTGCCCTAGTTCTCAGGGCTCCAAGGGTGCCAGCTAGTCCTGCGGTTCATGGAGATGTGACATCCAAAGCTCTAGAGACACCTGGATGAGCTGCTGTAGACCTAACTTGGCCTGGTTTCTGTTTGGGATGGTCCTAACTTGGAGTCTGAAGGGTAGAGGCTACAGGAGCATCCTAAATGAAACCCAGAGGTGAGCAGGGACTGGGAAGGTTGTTGAAACTGGCCATTTGGACACTGCTGAAGAAGCGAGGTGAGTTTGCAGTTTTAGAACCAGAGCCCTGGCCTACCTTAGTGCCACCGGTGTGGGGGTTGTGGTCACAAGTCCAGGAGGCAGCTGAGGGGCGATGCTGGCAGAGCCCGCCCCCATGTGGGAGAATGGGCCTGAGAGGACCTCAGGGGAAGTGTGGGTGAGGGGCGCTTTGAAGCACCTCACAGGATCCCTGCTAGGAGTAACCAGGTGGAAGGACACCCTTCCCTTGAGTGGTGGCAGGGGTGGGGTGGAGTCAGCAAGACCTCGAGCCTCTCTCCCTGTTCCAGTCAGCGCTTCCAAAGCTTTGCGGAGAACTGCCACCCCCGGCCCCACCCCGCTGGGCCCCCACTTACTGCCTGTGCGTAGGCGCCGTAGGCCCCGAAGGGGATGGCCATGGGGTTGAACATGCCCATCTGGCCAGCCATCTGCTGCATTCGCCGCATTGTGCGCTCCTTGTCGGTGTCGGCGAACTTGACCACCAGACTGGATGAGGCTCCCTGCAGCCGGGACTGCACGTGAGGCCCACCAGCCCTGCCCCATCCGCCTCGGCTACCTGGCCTGGGCCCACCCGATCCTCTCCAGGGGTGCTTTGGGGACGGGGGAGGGGAAGGGGGGGCAGGGTAACAAGCACCAAGCCTCACCAAGGAGTCTGGAGCTTAACCTCCCCGCAGGCTTTTTCTACCTAGGTGACCTTGGGCTACTTCTTTAGCATCTCTGGGCCTCAGTGTCCTTGTCTGAGAAATGGGATTGTTGGCAATGCCTTCCTGTCTCCTGGGGAGGCTGCCAGCGTGCTATGCGGGCACGCTTTTGGCACCGTGTGGCCCAGCGGGCGCCAGGACAGGCGGAGCCTTGAGGATGTGCGGGATGGCAGAGATGTCTGGGTCCCTCACTGCCCCGTCTCGCACCCCCCAGGGTCGGCCACACTCACCGGCATGGTCTGGCTGCCGTGCAGAGCATTGATGGCGGCTTGTGCCTCAGCGTGGGAGGAATACTTCACAAAGGCGCACCCTGGGGGGACGGGAGAGGCTGAGCCAAGGCAACTGGACCCAGAGAAAGGTCAGAGAGGCGCGAGGAGTGAAAGACGCAGGACGGGAGGGGCCGAGAGGAGAGGGCGCCTCCCAAAGGAAAGCATAGTGAGACCCAGAAACATTGAGAGACACCGACAAACACAGAGCTACACAAGGAGGCAAAGACCTGGGCAGGCCAAGGATGTCAAAGGACCCTTAACTGGCCCCGTCCCAGTCTGGACTCGGATCGCGGCATTTCCTTCCTCCCAGGCCTGACAGCTTCGCACCTTCCAACCAGCCTTTCCCCGCTGGCCGGATCAGGCCAGCTCCAGGGGGGTCTGAACTCCGCTAGCAGGCTGGCTAGAGATCCGCGGCCCGGCTCCGTCCGTCCCCTCGCCCCGCCCCGCCCTCTCGCCCCGCCCCTCCCACTTATAGCTCCGCCCACCCTCTTGTCCTATCGCCCACCCTCTCGCCCCGCCCACCCACCTCTAGCTCCGCCCCGCCCACCCTTTCGCCCCGCCCCCACGCACCCTTGCTGTTGCCGTCGGGTCCGCGCAGAATGGTGCACTCCTCGATGTTCCCAAAGGCCTCGAAGAGGCGGCGCACATCGTCCTCAGACTGCTGCTTGTTGAGCATACCCACGAAGAGTTTTCTATCTTCTGGAACAAAATTAGGAGATGCTTACCCGGGCCAAGGACCCGGAGGCGCGGGGTCGGCCCGCGGGAGGAGGGAGGGTTACGGAGGGGAAGGGTAGGAGCTGGTAGGGAGCAGGAGGGGGGCTCACAGCCGGAGGGGAGGGATAACAGCGGGAGGGAGGCGGGTGGGAGGCGGTGGGGCACCGCTCGAGGGGAGGAACGACCGGGCGAGGGGATGGACGAAGTGGGGTGGGGGGGGGGGGGCAGAGCCAGAGGGGGAGGGGAGGCGGGAGGGGTTGCGTCTGAGCGGGGGCGGGATTGCAGCGACTCTGCCCCTTCCGGCCTGAGGGCCGGGCCAATGGGCTGGCTGCTCACCTGTGGTCCACAGGTCCTTTGGACAGCCCTCCATCCTCTTCCTCCCTCCTGTTAGACGCTCACTGTCTTCCTCAGCCACTTTCACCCCCAGAGGCCAAAATTAATTCATAGCTGGCGGGTGGGCCACAGGGCCTGTGTACACGCTGTTCTCTCGGCCTGGAGTGGCCTCCACGTCACAAAGCTGAATTCTCTAATGCTAGGTCTCCGCTTAAATATTGCTTTCTCATCAAAACCCCTCTTTCTGCTTCTTCATTCTCTGTCTCAACCCGTCTCCTGGTGCAAAATTCCAAGGACAATTATTTACTGCTTTGCCTGAGTAGTGAGTTTCTGTCTAGCTCTCCATCCCTCAAAGTAGGCTCCCCTAGCGAAGAGGCTAGGCCTCTGCTGGAGGTGGTAGAGGCACCTAGTAGGCCCACAGGACTGAGCTATGGAATGAATGAATGCATGCCCTATGCCATTCAGAGGGGCAACCTCGTTTCTGCCTCACATGTTCTTACCTCCATCTGGTGCTCCCTCTTCTTGCCCCTTCCTATTCATTCTACAAAATTCAGTCCTGGGCGCTTTGGAGGACCCAGTTTCTGAAGACTGGGCTCCCTCAGCAGAGACCCGCGCCCCCTCCCCCCACACACACAATTGTATTGAGTACCAAATGGTTTGTTGACAACACTCAGGTGTGAGCTTAGGGTGACAGGGATTACATCAGGCTGTGTGGATTTGTAGTAGCTTATGACTGCAGAAATGTTTCCCATCCCACAAGCTCCTATTGCCCTGTGACTTTCATTCCTCCCAGGGAGGTGGGATCTATGTTTCCTCCCCTTGAATCTGGGCTGGGCTGTGACCTTTCTAACCCTTAAAGAATGGCAGAAGTAACACCAGATGCCTTTCAAGGCTGGGTCATAAAAAGGATCAGCTTCCACTCTCTGCTCTTTCAGGGATGGTTGCTCTGTGGTAACCAGTCACCATGCTGGGAAGAGCCCCTAACGCCCACACCAGGAGTCCACATGGAAAGGAGCCCAGGCCTCCAGCTGACAGCCAGCATTAGCCATCAGACATGGAGTGAATGAGTCCTGAGATGATTCCAGCCCCCAGCCCGTGAGTCTTCCAGCCGAGGCCCAGACAGCCTGGAGGAGAGACAGGCCTTCCAAGCTGTGCCCAGCCTGAATTCCTGACCCACAGAATCCATGAGTGTAGGAAATGGTTGTTTTACACCACTCCATTTGGGGCTGAATTGTTAAGTAGCCATAGTTTGCTGGAACGTGGTCCTCGTGGTGGCAGACACCCACTCAATGTTTGTTGACTATTCAGTGACTGACATGCACAGCCAAGGCTGCAGAAATGCACACTCCAAAACTGCAGACAGCCATGTGTTCATGGTTTCCACAGAATGCAAGGGCACTCCAGGCCCATGTCCTTCTGGATCCAGGGTGGTTGGTACCTCCTGCCCCAAAGCACTCCCATCACCCACACTGCCAGGAGAGTTCACGTAGAGATGGGGGCTGAGTGGGCTCTGGAGCAGAGGAAACCTCCAGGTCCTACCCGGCTTCACAGGCCACCCTTAGAGTCCTCCTCTTCAGGAAGGCTGACTGCTGCCCTACTGTTACCCCCAGCCTGGAGCACTCAGCACTGGGCAAGCTCTCCCTGATAAGGTGCTCCTTCCATGCCCACACGGTATCAGTGCCAGTTCCTGCCACCAGGGCTGGGTCAGGACACACCGCTTGGACCTCCACCATCAGGGCGGGGGCTCCAGCCAAAGCTCTGAGCTTGGATTCCACTCAGATGCTCAGGCCCTGGCAGGGCGGGGGGCACACCCCCGCCCCATCTCCAGCCCTCACCAACTCCAAGCTGTGGGCTGGGGGAAGCAGAGACTGGGGGCCTGAGCGGGAATGGAAGGGGTGAAACTGAGGAGGGACTGAAGGTGATGGATTCATACAGAAAAGGGAGGGACAGAAATGGCAGAGATAGAGGGAAAAGAATTAGAAATAAAGAGCTGAGAGAAGAGATGGACAGAAGGAAACGGCAGAGACAGAAGTGGGAGGGAGAGGGACTTAGGTTTAACTCCCAGAAGCACAGCGACATTTTATAGGAAGTAAACAGTTTTGAAGCCTTCAGTGGAGGCTTGAAACTCTGCTCCCAGGTCATCCCTGTCTTCCCCCTCTCCCAGCACCTTTTAAAGACTCTGAGTTAATGGGATTGCTGGGAAGACAAAGAAGTGGCAACCTCCCCTCTCCTCATGCCTGACCCTCCTGCTCAGACACTGCCTCCCAGGAAGGACCTGGGAGGGAAGAGAAGGCCCAGTCTCCTTGGAGCCAGACTCGGATGCTGCGACTGCATCTCCTTTCCTGACTTCTGAATGTGTTCCTCTGGTTTCATTATGACAGCTTTCTGGTTGCATTAAAATTCATTAAATCCCCACATGCCTTTCTAGCCAGCCACTTCCCTTTTGCCAGGTTTTTTTTTCCCCTAATTCCTTCTTTCCCTCCCTGAAGTCATCCCTTACGGCCGATTCTTGGTTCTCCATCCTAAACTTGGGTCCTTCTTGTTTGAGGACTTTCTCAAGGTGAAGGGGGCCAGGCTCCCCCTCTTCCTGACTGTTCAAATCTCCCTTTCTGGAAGGCCATCAGGAACCAAAGAAACCTGGCTCTAGGCTCACTTCTGGGTGATCTTGGATTGACCCCACCCAGTGCAAAGGTTTATTTGTTTCTAGGTTCCTTTTTATTTCCAGTTGGCTTTGGCGCCGAGTGAGTGATTCTAAGGCTTGTCTTTCAGACCCGGGAGTGAAACGACTCTGAGTCTGAGAGTCAGTCTCCTCTGGCCCAGGCCCACTGGCTCACCCTCCTGCCCTGCTGCCTTCGGCTACATACTTCCTTACCCACCTCGGTGTCAGAAATGGGAATAACTAGGCCATCCTCATGTGGATGGTAGACTCCCAGGACGTGCGGCAGCATGAAGCAACCGGCAGTAGTAGAATGGTGATGACCCTGACCTGGGGTTCTCTATCCAAGAGGAAGAGGAAATGGAGCTCCTGGCCCTGACTCAAGGCGGCAGAGGTCACAGTGGGGGGCGGGGTGGGGGGAGACCAGAGGCTCCCGCGCCATCATCCACACAGACTCCCGTGTCCTGGGCCAAGCTGAGAAGGCCCTGCCCAGAGTCCTCCTGCCTGAGGGAGGCAGGGTCCTTGGGTGACGGCGGGCTAACCCTCAGCCTGAGCCCATTTTGGGGTGTGAAGCTGTGGTTGCTTCTCTGAGGAGATGTTCAGGCAGATGCTGCTGGGACTGGGCCACAAAGGCCACCTTCACGGAAGGTCAAGTCAGGAAAGACCTCAGGGCCAGGGTGTAAATGGACTGAAGGTATCCCTGAGTGTGAAGTCGCTGAGACAGTGTGGGAGTGGTCACCCCCAGGGATGCAGGAGGCTGGTCTCTAGCCTGGTAGGTGGCTGCATTAAGCTCACCTTCCAACTTCCGGCAGGTCTGTAGGGGCTAGTTGGGGAAGGGGCAGTGGCAACACCCTGAACGCTTCCTGGAGGAGGTGGCCTGGAGTTACAATGTCCACGGCTCAGGAGCAGGATCACCAGGCCCACAACAGAATGTGAGCAAAGACTGAAAGATGAGAGGGCCCTTTTCGGTTGTTCTTTTCATTTGCTTCCTGCCTGGGGGTCCGGGGGAGGGGTGGGGAAGTTTGGGCTTTGCTTTCCCAGGTGCCTCTGGCCTACCCTACACCCACCCTGCCCCCAACACACACGTCTCCCAGTCCTCTGGTCTCGGGAGTCTTATTCCTTTTCCCAGAACCTCAATCTAATTCTGAGTTTCAGTTTCCCAGCCTACTAGCACTGGGGAACACCTCCAGGAAGCCTTAAGTGCCAGTGAAAAGGCAGAGGAATCTAGTTGCCAGGATCTCATGCTTGGGAAAGACCCTGATGCTGGGAAAGATTGAGGACAGGAGGATATGGGAACGACAGGATGAGATGGTCAGATGGTATTACCGACTCAGACAGACATGAGTTTGAGCAAACTCCGGGAGATAGTAAAGGACAGGGAAGCCTGGCACACCACAGTCCGTGGAGTAGCAAAAAACTGGACACAACTTAGTGACTGGAAAGCAACAACAGCATGCTTGCTCCAGCCCCTCCAGGAGGGAAACAATCTCCTCTCTCATCCACTCAGAATATCCGGGCAGAATGGGCCTCTGGCTGGAAGGCTTTGCATTTTAAAAGGAGAGCCCAGAAAACAGAGAAGCAAGACTCTGATGGCAAGATGAGGACAGGCTCCTATGGGGCATATTTCAGGATGGTGCCTCAGGGCCCCAGACGTGCGGGGAAGCATCTTGCTTGCTGTGCAAGATGAGGGGCCCTGAGCGGGGCGGAGGCGGGTGGCAGCCGCAACACTTGACTTGCCAAATGCCAGCGCCCTGGCTCTAATGCTTCAATTCCGGTTTAATTTTCAAAATTTGATTCACTCATTACCATCGGCATTAAACAATATTTCCTGCTTAAGGATAGATGGCTGCCGGGGCACCGTGGACGAGTGTTCAGATGGCTAATGCCTTTTATGGCTGCAATAGACTTTTACTGTTCTCTTCCCTGCAGCTGCCAAGGGAGGGTTTGTGGGGGACCTGAGCTGGAGAGAACCAGGAGGCCCAGGGCCACGGTGGGG